GCCCGCCACAACGCCTGGCTATTTTATGGTTGCAGCCATCATTGTTGTTTGGCGGGCCCGGGCTGGATTCGAACCCGCCACCTTAGGTGTATGTGGCTGGGGCCTTAGCCACTTGAGCCCCAGGCGCCAAGCCACAAAACTATTGAAGAATGTAATACGTCTCTTCTCTACTTGGAATCTGAATCATTCCTTCTCCAGTATTCTAGATATAACAAAATGTAGACGTATAATAAAAAAGTTATAGAAATAATTTAAAAAATTAAATTTTAAAAGGATATTTTAAATTAATTTTTAGAAGGATAATTTACCAACAAATAGTGATTGTCTACTGTGTCACATAGTGCAATTTTAATTTTGTAGGGAAACTCACACAAAAAAACTCAGAAATAGTAGCTTAACAGATATGCTAAATTTAACCTTGATTGGACAGAATTGATAATAAGAAGGTATGAATGAACTAATAACTCTTGAGACTAGAGGTGTGAAACTGTACAAAGAATTTTACTTATAAACTTTACCTGATCTCGTAATAGTCCCCATAAAAACATCTGTATATAAATCTGAGATTCTTTTTTTTTTTTTTTTTAAGAGACACAGTCTCACTTTGTCACTCTTGGTAGAGTGCCTTGCTGTCACAGCTCACAGCAACCCCCAGCTCTTGGGCTTAGCCGATTCTCTTCCTCAGGCTCCCAAGTAGCTGGGACTACAGGCATCCACTACAATGCCCAGCTATTTTTTTGTTGCAGTTTGGCCGGGGCATGGTTTGAACCTGCCACTCTCCGTATACAGGGCCAGTGCCCTATTCACTGAGCCCAAGGTGCCACCTGAGATTCTTCTTAATGACATGTTATATGGTGTAGTGGTTATAGAACTGGTATTCAAAAGAGTGATCCAGTGTCATGACTTCTACCCTTAAAACTCTTTCAAAAACACTTTTTAGGCCAGGCAATGCCTGCAATCTCAACATTTTGAGATACTGAGGTGGGAGGATTGTTTAAGGCCAGGAATTCAAGGTTACAATGAATGTCTGATTGCACCAGTGTACTTCAGTTTGGGTAAGAGAGCAAGATCCTGGCTCTTAAAAAGAGGAAAAAAACCCCGCACTTAAAAAAAAAAAAAAAAAAACCTCTTTAGAAATGAGAAATAATTGCCATAGGATAATCATTAGCACAAAGATAAATATTTTTTGAGATATTGTCCATTAGCACAAGCAGGCAATTATCAACATGCTATATAGTCTTATAGAAAGGCTAAAGTATGTACTAAGGAGCACTCTCTTACCTGATGTATTCCTCTTTATTTTCTTCTGTTACAAGAATATTGCTGCCATTGTGTTTCAGATCATGACTCTTAATTTCACCTAGAATTTCTTTATCAACGGAGAAGTACATTTCCAAACCACATTCCTCAATATTATTTTCTCTGTTCAAATAAAATTAGCAACATTTGTTATAGTCACCAATGCAACCATAATTTGAAAGCTTTAACTAAACTTAAATTAATATTAACCTACGACATCATAGTAAGAAGAAATTGGAAGACCATGCTCTAAGGTCATATTATTGACTCATATCTTGGGTATATTTCTGTGAAATGTATCATATTACATAGTAAGACAGGTTTGAGGTATAGATCATTTAAACTGAATAAACCAATTACACACTTATAGTTTGAATAAGTTACCAACACCATGATGAAAGCAGATAAGCTATATTTTCATAAATTAAATGGAAATAGAAACTCACTTAACCCAGATGAGAGAATTGTAGAATTCTGGATCTATAGATTCTAAATCCTTGAGTCCAACAGGTTTGTTTAAGATACGCTTATAGAATGGTAAAGAAAAACCTGTATCTATGAATTTCCCATGGAACAGAGCCTAGGAAAAAGGGAAACAATACCATTTAGAATAATTGCATATTTTATTTCAAAATGTTAGAAGATTATTTATTACTTATTTATTTTTCTGAGACAGAATCTCAAGCTGTTGCCCTGTATAGAATGCTGTGGCGTCACAACTCACAGCAACCTCAAACTCTTGGGCTTAAGCAATTCTCTTGCCTCAGCCTCCCATGTAGCTGGGACTACAGGCACCCACCACAATGCCCAACTATTTTTTTGTTGCTGTTGTCATTGTTGTTTAGCTGGCCCTGGTTGGGTTCAAACTGCCAGCCTTAGTGTATGTGGCTGGCACCCTACCCACTGAGCTATGGGCACCGCCTATTTATTCATTTTTGAGACAGAGTCTCACTTTGTTACCCTCAGTAGAGTGCCATAGCGTCACAGCTCACAGCAACCTCAAACTCTTGGGCTCAACTGATCCTCTTGTCTCAGCCTACCAAGTAGCTGGTACTACAAGCGCCTGCCACAATACCTGTCTATTTTTAGAGATTGGGTCTTGCTCTTGTTCAGGCTGGTTTTAAACTTCTAAGCTCAGGCAATCCACCCGCCTTGGCCTCCCAGAGGGCTAGGATTACAGGTGTGAGCTACCACACCAGGTCCCCCTCTCCTTTTTTTTTTTTTTTTGAGACAGAGTCTCACTCTGTTACCCAGGCTAGAGTACCATGGCCATCAGCCTAACTCACAGCAACCTCAAACTAATGGGTTCAAGTGATCTTCCTGCCTCAAGCCTCCTGAGTAGCTGGGACTATAGCCCTCCACCCTTCAGTGCTTGGCTAATTTATCCTATTTTTAGTAGAGACAGAGTCACACTTTTGCTCAGACTGTTCTCAAACTCCTGAGCTCAGGGGATCCTCCCACCTTGGCCTCCCAGAGGGCTAGGATTACAGGCATGAGCCACTGTTCCTAGATGAATTTTTTGTTTTAAATAAAAAAAAAGCTTCCCTATGGTAAGACCTGTTATGGCATATAGGAGAAAACTCAGGATTGCTGAATTTGCAAAATAAATGCAGTTTTCTACCTGCACTTACCATAGCAATAAACCTGCCAATAAAACGAAAATATTTCAGGTGATCCGGATTGATGTAAGAAGCAGGGTTTATCTGCAAACAGTAGTTATCCTTTCCTGCATATTCAAATAGGCAATACATTGGGTTCAACACTTCATGTGACAAAAGAAAGAACCATTCTCTGAAATCAAAAGATAATTTAGGATGAAGAATTTTGTAAGTAACCATACCAACAAATAAAAAGGCAGTGCTACAAAGTTCTCAGAAATCTACAATCCTTAGATAGTTTTCTAATCTCATGTTGGTTTTTTATTGCTTCTGTTTAAACTCCCATCAATTTTACAGAGAGAGTTATGCATTGCTCATTACAATATTTCAAAGCATCTAAGGCATCGTTCATTTTTATTTGATGACTCACTAAAATTTTTTCCACCTACTCTTACGATACACATCTCAATTTTAGAGACATTAAAATGTGAAAATGTTAGTCTTAGAATAGGTAAAATATTATATACAGGCAATTTTTTAAGATTCACTATTGACCAATGTGATTACAGTGGCTGAAATCAGTCTACTATTCCATCTACTATTATGTCTCATAACAATCCCCATCAATAGCTACTCCCTATACCTCAAATCAATATGAAAAACGAATTTCACAGAGACGTAAAGCATTTAATTCTCACCACTCATATATCAGAAAAATGCTCTGAGATGCTCCTATTCAAGAGCATCAGGAAAATATGAATCCATATTAACATTATGATTATGGCTACTAAAACTATGTAACCTAGGTTGGTCTTATAGAGTAGATCTGAGGCCACACATGTGGTATCAAAGCTCATATCCTAGATCTCTTTTCTTGTTAGTTTGTGGCCTAATGCTGCTTACACTTTAATACTGCTAGCTGATTTCCTGAAAATGAATGAATCTTTATCTTCCTCCTGAATTATCTCTTAACATGAACAAAATTAAATGTTTCTACTCTAATTTATTATTCTAATTTATCAGATATCTGTGATTATTTCATACATTTTGAAATAGTTTTATTTGAACTTGGAAACACAATATAAGACCTACTAAAATGTAGCCACCAGTTACTGAGTGCACAAAGAATCAGGCTCTGGACCAGGTCATTAACAAACAATATTTTTATTCTTCACAATAATCCTAGAAAGGTAGATATCACTATTTTCATTTTATAGATCAAGTATTTACCCAAGGTCACATTATTGAGAGCAGAAAAAAGATTCCAACCCAGTCTTGACCCCTGCCTTTCCATACCTCTACTACTTTACAAATTTATAACTAGGTATGAAATATTTTTATAGAACAAGCAGAGCAGTTCTTTACTGAAGATTATCTTCTAGGGTTTTAGTGAAAGTTCCAATATGAAGAAGGAAAGTAGAATTAAGACTTTCAACTACCATTTTTATATGTTGCCATTTTAATTTCTTTTTTTTTTTTTAGACAGAGCCTCAAGCTGTCGCCCTGAGTAGAGTGCTGTGGCATCACAGCTCACAGCAACCCCCAACTCTTGGGCTTAAGTGATTCTCTTGCCACAGCCTCCCAAGTAGCTGGGACTACAGGCGCCCACCACAACATCTGGCTATTTTTTGGTTGTAGTTGTTATTGTTGTTTAGCAAGCCCAGGCTGGATTTGAACCCACCAGCTCTCCTGTATGTGGCTGGCACCTTAGCCACTTGAGCTACAGGCACCACGCCCCATTTTAATTTTTTTAAAGCAACATATTCCAATCCTATAAAGCCTTCTATGTTCCTATGATGTTATTAATTTCAGTTGGGAATTGAGTGATTATTATCTGTACAATTAATCTGTGATATATAAAATGAAATGATTATGATAGGCCCTTGTATGTTCCATGGACAATACTGTGGTTAGTGGTTAGATAATACAAAACTTGCACCCAGGCTCTATAACTTATTATGTGCCTGGGTGGCACCTGTGGCTCAGTAGGTAGGGCGCTGGCCCCATATACTGAGGGTGGCAGGTTTGAACCTGGCCACGGCCAAACTGCAAATAAAAAATAGCCAGGTTTTCTGGTGGGCACCTGTAGTTCTAGCTACTTGGGAGGCTGAGGCAAAAGAATGGTCTAAGCCCAGCCGTCGGAGGTTGCTATGACGCCATGGCACTCTACCAAGGGCGATAAAGTAAAACTCTTATCTCAAAAAAAAAAAAAAAAAGAAAGAAAGAAAAAAGAAAACTTATTATGTGCCTTAGGTGAGTCTCTAAACCTCTTCAACATCTATAAAATTTTATCTCACAAGGCTATCCTGAGAATTAAATGAGTGATGTGGGTGAAATCAATGTAGCAGTCAGTACATTAGGGAGAAAGCACTGAATTAATATTCATTGAAGTTCTATAGCTATAGCATAATAAAAATATCATAATTTGCTACATTTCATTTTCCTAAAATATAAGATTGAGAAAATAATACTTGCAAGCAAAGTGCAATGGTACCTTTGGAAGAAAGGAACTAAGTTCTGAGTATTCATATTATCACTACCTTGCTACACCTCCATAATCTAAACCTTCTTCTCCTGGAAAAATCACCCACAAACGTCTTCGCAGATCTTGGGGACTGAAGCTCATTATCTATAAAACAATAAAGTGAAAGAATTGGTTAGAGCAGTTCTTCAAATACCATTTATCACTTCCAGGTTTGACATCTTCTTCACTCCTAGGACACGGAATGATATTTATGATCTAATCAAAAGCATATATGCAAAAAATACATTATAGTAATGTTTCATAGTAATTTATGTATTACGCATATCTATATTCTTAGACACTTTTTACAGATAAAATTTTAATTCTAATGATGTTACTACTGACTTATAGGGTTACTTATATAAATTGCTTGAAGCACAGTAACTATGGGCATTGTCAAAGGAAAGATTTTGTTTCTTTGTTTGTTTTTTGGTTTGGTTAAGTTTGGTTCATAGCCAAAGGTATATGTAATAGCTAATTGGCTAATCTAGAAATGAAACCCAGTGGCTGCAGAGAGAATACAGTTAAATATGTAAACTCATTCTCAGTAGAAAAGCTACTCAAATTTTGTGTTCAACTTTAAGTGGTTAATAGGATCATCTTCATATCTGAAGGACAGTAACATTTTTAGATGGCCTGGGTCGGGTCTGAACTTGCCACCCTCAGTGTATGGGGCTGGCGCCATAACCACTGTGCTATGGGCGCCAAGCCAACAGTAACACTTTTGAGCTACAATGGACAGATCATTTGGATTCCCCTTCTGTAAAACTATTTAATTATTTGACCAAAACTGAGTCATTTCAGCATTGTATATATTACTCCTAGGAAAAAAAAGTAAGGGCCTGGAGAAAGAAGTTGATATGATGCATATACCTAATCAAGTGATAAGATCTTACATTTAAATATCCAGATAGGATCAATAAATAACCCGTTTACATCAAGATTCTCTCAGTTCCCAACAAAAGAGACACATCATTTTCATGAATTTGCATTCTACTCAAACAAGAAAATCCCAGATATAATGAACAAATTCAATGCTTATGACATATGTTCATGCTTATGACAAATATTCTATAAGTACTATGGGCTAGGTATACAGCCATGCAAATGAGATGTCACAACATTGAAAATATCTTTAATTCCTTTTAACAAATGCTAATGTGAAAGAAAAACTTTTTTTTCCTATAATTTCCCCCATAAGCAGTTTGTGTTATGTTAATAGAAGAAAGATTATCTGGAGCAACTTTATCCAATAGCTAAGAGAAGAAAACCTGATGCTAATGTTGCTATCAGATTTGTTATCCCTTAAAGCAATCAAGTTGTTCTTTATTATTATACTTTTTTTCAGAGACAAAGTCTTCTTTTGTTCGCCAGACTGAAGTGCAGTGGCATGATCATAGCTTAAGCATCCCTCCTGACTCACCTTCCAAGTAGCTGAGTCTACAGGCATGCACTACCAGGCCTGAGTAATTTTTTCTATTTTTTTTTTTAAGAGATAGGGTCTTGCTAAGTTGTCAATTTCTTAAGTTTTTATTACCCATTTATTTGATGGATGTTAAATCTAGGGTGACAGTTTTAAACCCCTGTTTCAGTACTATCTGGGTTGTTTTTCTGTTTAAGTTTCAAAAGTCAAAAGATAACAAGACAGCTTAATCATGTTTTGCACTTTTTTTAGCACTCTATTATACAATTAAGTTATGTTTCAAGAAACTGGCTCAACACAAATGGTACTCAGCAACAAAAGGGTGGTTATCGGCTCGGCGCCTATGGCTCAACCGGCTAAGGCGCCAGCCACGTACACCTAAGGTGGTGGGTTCGAATCCCCAGCCCGGACCCGCCAAACAAC